AGTTGAGGTCTTTATAGGGTGAATGCTTCTCCAAGTACCCCCTGGCTCGTAAATAGATAGTGCCACAGTCTTTCTTACCCACTAGGCTTTTCTCTCCCTTACAGTCATAGCCATTGGCCAGAATATCCTGAGCATAGCTCAGAGACAACATGTCCAAAGTGAGTGATCTCTATCCTGTCTGTAGTCTTAAACAAACCTATTTTTCCTGCTACAATTTTTATCTTACCAGTAAAAATCCAAAGTAAAAATAGGACCATATCCTGGAAAATCTTTTCACCTTGCTTGCCTCCACGTGATTTGGTAACCACATCCTGTTTATTTTAACTCCTAAGTAGCTAAGCTATTTTGTTTCCTTTACAACATGCCCACTCTTACTGCCCTAGAATAGAACCTCACCATTTATTAAAACCTCTGATTAATAATTCTGTCTCCACTCTGGCCTCCTCTCCATTCTCCATTCTTATGCTAGAATAAATCTCTAAAATCCAATTCCCAACTTTCTGCTCAAGCTTCTTCAATGGTTTCTCATAGCCTTTTACAGGATATTTAAAGTCCTTAGCATGATCGATCAGCCCCCTCTTGATCTGGTCTACACCATGCCTTCAGTCATGTGTCTATCCATGTTCCCCTAAAGCACCTCACATTCAGCCATCTTAAACTACTTCAGTTCCCTGAATATACTATGCTTTTTCATGGCTTTATTTCTTTTAATATATTGATCCTCCACATTTGGAACCTCTTCCCTCTACCCTGCTGATCATCTTATGCCTATTCTTTAAGGCTATTCATGCTTCACTTCCTCTTGGAAGCCTTCCTGGAAATACATTTACCATCATCCAAACTCCACCATCCCATCTCTGCAGGCCTACGAAAGCCAAGACTGTGTGTCTCTATTATGGTTCTTATCACACTCTATCGTTATCTTTGGTTGTCTTGTCTGTCTCTGCACTAGACTGAGAGTTTTTGAGTGCAAACACATGCCTTGTTAATCATGGTGTCATCAGCATCTGGCACATGGCAGATATTCTATGAATACAATCTGGACAAAAGAATGAATAAATGCATGAAGCATTTTCTTTATTTTCATACTCAGCCTAGGAATAATACCTACTTGGTTGATAAAATTTTAGGAAGAAATTCTTAAAAGGAAGAAGGAAGCATTTAAATGAGAATAATAACTAAATGGAAAGGAAGATTCTAATGAAATCTCGCCATATCCTTCTCCAAGATGATACCTCATCAAATAAAAATACCTCTGAACAATTCTGATACTTTTTGGATAAAGTACTGGATAAAGAGTTTATGACGATCTTATACATTATTCTTTGGAAGTCCAAAAAGGATCATAAAATTAAACATAGCTTTGTCCGGCACATAATATATAATTACTGTGTTTCTCTTTCTTCTTTATCCATAAAATATTCCTTGCAACAATATAGTACAATAAACTCTTCCCCTTCGTATGAAAACACATACAAACTTTGATTATGTTTTCTTTACTAAATAGTCAGTCTCATTCAAAAATGCACGGAACATTTATCTATTGACAAAGCCACGTCTTATTAGGAAATAAAAGCAGCTAAATTGTCATTTGGAAAGTCTATGCCAAAAATAATAAGAGGATTATCATCAATTCTTTCCTTAATCTGGCATAACAATATTCTATAACACAAAAGTAAAGTGTCCAAATCAGGCATTCACGGTGAGCCTTCCCCAGGTCGGGGCTCTTGGGTAGTTTTGCCCGCCATGGTGAGCACAATCCAACCATTTCTTTATGGAGAAAACTAGGAATCATTTCAATGCATTTAGTCCAAATAGTTCCTTCACTATTATACTCTCCAAAATAGGTTATTGAATTCAAACTAATATGAAAAGAAGAATGATGCAATTATTTAAAGATATTTTCTGGAAAATAAAGCAGATTTTTAGGAGAATATACATATAAATGACTATATTGTATCCTAAACATGGAAAGATAACGCCTTTTTTTTTTGCTTCACTTATAAACATCACCTATTGCAATTCTTTGAACTCCATAAATTAGGTCAACTAGGCTCTATAGTAAGATATAGTCAGACGGTAGTGATCAAAAAAGTATCAATGAAACAGTTGAATTCTAACGTGAGGGCTAGTGAGATCCTTCTATAAATTCACTATATCATGATCTGAGTGTTTTATATTTGACTAGATATGATTACTCATCAGTTGATCAAATAAATCAGATGTGGACATTATCACCTATAGGGGAAAAAAGAGCTTTGTCTATATTTTATAAGAGTTGGGTGCCCTGAACATAATCTTCATTTCTAAGGTTGGATCAATATTTTGGAAAATTAAAATCTACTACTCCAGACTTATTAAACAGGTTTGATGTTTTGATTCAACTCATGCGTCACATACCAATATGCAATTAATTGTTAGAGCCATGAGTAATTTATGAACTGATTAATGCAACAGACTGAATACTAAATCAGCAATATATGTACTTTGTCATGTTAGCGTAAACTTTCATGTTAGGGAAACTTATTTAAAGTGAATATTTGTAGGCCCTTCTCCTGGAATGTTTAATTTCTCAGATCTGGGGTGCATCTTTTGAGGTCAGAGTAGTACCAATCTGTGGATCAGGAGTGGGGAAGCCATCGATATTAAAAGAGCTGAGCAAGGTTGGAGAGTCAGGAGCTAGGATATGAAGGGCCCAATAGACTTGCTGTGATGATTACTTTAAGCTATATGTAAAGTGCTTAGCACAGTGCCTGGCACACATTAAATGCTGAACAATGTTAATTATTGTTGCTGTTGCTGTTTTCACTTAAGATCAAAATTCACATTTTAATCAAACCTCCGTAACATAAAGTGAAATGGAATATGCTGAATTTTATCAAATTTCCCGTAGTTTTTATAATGTATCTTTGGGGGGGGCGGAGGCAGGCAAATTTCAGACAATTTGGTCTACCATGTGTAGTAAAACAATTTGGCATGCCTTATTTAACCAGATGCTCTTTCATTTACATAGAGTTTCCCATAAAATGTGTATACAGAGCTCAATTCTACTAATTGGGTCATATTCCTATCAGGAAGCATAGGATAGTAGAAGAAAATGGAAGTTTTAGATATTTTGCGCTTGACTTCAAAAATCCCAGATCTGCCACTTGATAACTATATGACCTTAACCTTTCTGAACCTCAGTTTCCTCATTTATATACATATCTCACACAATTGTTAGGTGAATTTAATTAGATTATGCATATAAATCATGTGTCTAAAATATAAGTAGGCATATAAAGGTCAGTTCTTCTCTTTTCCCCCTTTCCCAATCCCCAATATAAGCCAGTAAATTAGAATTTGTTCTCTATTTTCAGTGAGATTTTTTTCATATGTATTTGCACCAAAACTTCAAATGATTTAGAGTTTCTATTTAAAAACAACATTCTATTTTGTACTGTCAACACACATCTTCAAAACTGAGTGTTATCTTACAATTTCATGTTTCTGTCACTAGGAGTTGTGTCTGAGCCAGGCTGGCAGAGTCAGATGCAGTTGAAACATATATTCTAGTGCACTGAAAACCTAGAATGTAAACTAAGAAGAGAAACCTACTTTATACTAAGAGATAAAGAACTTTGAGATTCAAAGAATGGCAGATATTTTTGTGGTTAAGAATGAGTGCTCTAAAATCAAACTTCCAGTGGTTAAGTCTTTACTCTTCCACTTGTTATCTGCAGCTTTGGGCAAGTTACTCTTCCTCCCCGAGTCCCAGGCTATGGATAATGATAGTAGTTACCCCATAGGATAAGAATTACATGAGATAATTAAATGGAGTGCTTGTCATAATACTCAATAAATAAATATTAATTATAGTGATACTCTCAGAGCCTAACAATACCCTTGTTTTAGTTACAAATAATAAATGCTAGTGTCACGAACATAGAGCTTGGATTCTCTCAAAATACTGGGTATTACCCTTTGAGGATAAGTTTATAAATCCTTAGCCAGAGATACAGATAAGTTGTCATTGCCCATTCTACTTTATAATTTATCTTCACAAGAATTTCCTCCCCACATAATTACCCCTTGTCCCCTCACCAACCTTCTTCCCAGCTCTTTCCCATGACCCCTCTCATGTTCCATTGTAAATCAATCCTCTTAGACTTCCAAGCATTCACAGAATGCTACTTCTGCTCCTTTGCCTTAAATGAAACTTGGATTTTTCCTGCAGTAACTTTTTGGAGAATTTGTTTTCTCAGCCATTTCCCTATGTTTCAGGCATTGTAGGGAAAATTAGTATGGATTATACAGACTTTTGTCACTTCAAGACTATTATTTTTCCACTTTGATATAGAAACTCCTCTGTTTTCAAGGTTCATCTATCCAACCTACCATGTGCAGACCTCCTAGCCATACAGCCTTGCTCTTTAAGGTCTTTAACACCAGGCCTCCAATTGTTCCTTCTGTCTTCACAGAAACATCTAAGGTCAGGCGTAAACCATTTAGCAGTTTGATTGTTGACTTTCTTCCCCCTCTTATCTCAGAAGTCTTTACCTGTCCTCTACCATAGGGATCTACTCTCATGGTGATATTCTGGACCTCGCCATTAATCTAACAAGCACACACTAAGAATTGACTCTGTGCTAAGCACTTCTGAGTATTCAGCAATGTTCCAAACAGATGAAAAACCCTGCTCTCATGGAATTTGCTTTCACAAAGGGCTACTCTAACCACAGTGTTCTCACACCCTTTTCCAAGTATTTGTGCTTGCTGTCCTCTCTGATATCTCTGCATACTTAATAAAGCCTTAATTTTCTCCCAAGGCTAATGCCTTTACTTCCTTCTTTAGACTCTATATTGTATCATTGCTTTAATCATTGTCTTATCTTATCAATGTTCCCTATACTTGGTGACTTCCAATCCACTAATCCACTACTTTAGTTCAATTTAAGTACGTGATTCCTTTCCCGTAAGTTGCAGGGTCCTGCTAGAGAAAATCATAGAACCAAACTTACCATTGCAAAATTAAAGTGTCCAGCTTCAGACAGGGTTTCGATGGAGCAGGCCAGATAATTTTCCGTTCACGGCTTTAGGTTCTTAAGGTCTTATTAACTTCATCCTTCTACTCAAAGACCCTGCTACTCCTTGAAATCCTTATCTCTGAACAGATGGCCCTTCTTCCTGTTTTGCAAGAATATGAAATTACTCAACAGTAAATTTATTTGCTACCTGAAATTATCCATACCTGTGACCACTTACATTTTCATTTACTCAATAAATACTTATTGAGAGACTACCATGTTTCAAGATCTATTCTAGGACCTTGGGATACATCAGAGGATAAAAATGACAAAGATGTCTACCGTCATCTACTTGCAACCTAGCAAGGAAAATGGACAGTAAGCAATGACCATCGTATACAGCATACATATGATGTTTATTGCTTATTGTTATATAATGTTAGTGTTATGGAGAAAGGAAAAGTAGAGCAAGGTTAAAGGGATCAGGAGTGCCAGAGCGCCTGCAAAATTAAATTGGCTGGTCACAGGAGGCCTCATTGAGATTAGTTTTGAGTAGGGGCTTGAGAGATGAGAAGTTCACTGAATCTCAGAGTTAGGCTTCAGGCTCAGAAGAGAATCTACCTCCCTACTTTATATAAAGTTGAATTCTCCGTCTCCACAGGTTTCCTCCAGGTTTGGCACCTGTTCAATTCATTCTTTTTATTCTCCTTATAATTTATAATATTTCTCCCCATAAACATGGTCCAATCTTCCTGAATCGAATAAAGATTAAGAAATTCTACCTTACCCTGGACTACATCTGGTTATTTCTTCTTCTTTTTACCAGATGAATTATTTGAAAAAAATAAACAGGCAGATGTTGCAATCTAGCAGTCCATAACCCCAGCATGGCTCACAAACATATTCATTTTGCCACAATCGTGTTTTAAGAAATGTAATTTTTAATTTGGACAATTTTAGACATGGCACCTATTTTCAACTTGACCCTGGTTCCCTTCACTCCCTACCATATTATACTCTGCCTTTTACACTCATTTATGTTATCTGTTTGGTGCTTAAACCATTCAAGTTTGTAAATTTGGACCCATCCTTCTGAGTATATCTGATAGGAGACTAAGAGGGACTTTTGGAAAATGACTAGCATTTAATTACACTACCTATAAATATTCCCAAAATTAAAAAATTATCTGGCAATAGCAGTGTAAGTTAATAATGAAGAAATTCCACATAACAACATCTGGGGAATTACATCTGGGGAATTTACCTTCATCATTATTGGGAATAGATTAATTATTACAGGTAATCTACCTTGTAGCCAGAATAATATTGTTTTTCTTAGTGAATTAAAAAAATACTTGAATCATCCTAATATCTGAACCTTTGAGATTCAAGAGCAACTTAAATCTAAAATCACACGTCCACAAACCCACTACATGGGAATCATCCTCTAAGTGAGAAAGAGTCATGCTCCTCACTTTGCCCAACACTAATAGTGTAATGATTTCTACCTCCAGTCAGAGAATATGCCTCCAGCGTACAACACAGTAGGAAGTAAATGAGGATGAACAGTGCTATATGGTTTCCTCAGCAATCTAGCTATTCTTTGAGAAATGGCACAAACAGGAAAACTTCTATGGGCAGGGCAATCTTGGGAGAGAGAGGGAGAGAGACAGAGAGTGTGTGTGTGTGTGTGTAAGATTATTCTGAACATAAAACCCTGAAGTTCCTTCTATGCTAACAGCCTTATTTTGAACAAGAGTCTGAAAGTGATTTTGTACACTTAGGTTGTAGTGCTTTGTACCATTTTCTCCTGTTCCCTTGGTATAACAATTTAGATCAGGGCATGGTGTACAAGCTAAATTGGTTATCTATGAGATCATCAGTGACCCCAGAGAGACTAGTATAAAAGCTTTGTCTATAGCTAACTCAGAAAGATAGTCTCTTAGAGATCTGAAGTTCAAGAGATAAAAAACAGAAATAGGGAGCTGGCCCTGGGGCCGAGTGGTTAAGTTCGTGCACTCCACTTTGGTGGCCCAGGGTTTTGCTGGTTCAGATCCAGGGTGCAGACATGACATCACTCATTAAGCCATGCTGAGGCAGTGTCCCACATAGCACAACCAGAAGGACCTACAACTACAATATGCAACTAGTTACTGGGGGGCTTTGGGGAGAAGAAGGAAAAGAAAGAAGATTGGCAACAGATGTTAGCTCAGATGCCAATCTTTAAAAAAAGAGAGAAATAGAGATGAAGATAGAGGTAAGGGATGGGGAGAGAAAGAAAAAGAGATAGAGACAGAGAGAAAAAGACAAGGACAGAATACTATTTGGCAGCAGCAGGAAAAGGCAAACGAGTGAGAGGGAGCATTTTATTGGTAGGGTGTAGAGTGCTGGAGAGGGAAGAAAGAGATCCCTGCTGCTACAGGGTCTGTAAGACTGCTGGGTCACTGCAGCTGCTTGGACCCTCAAACCCATTCTAACTCTCCATGAGGAGTGTATATCTGGCTGGGCTACATTCTCTAATGAAAAGTTGCAGGCTTCCATTGACAGAACAATATGAGCCTAACAAAACTCCAGCTCCATCCCCTAGCCATGCTTTAGACAAACATCTGCTGGAGAACACATGGGGGCTTTCCAAATTTAGATCTGAAAGGAAAACAGAGAGAGAATAAGAACATTCCATGCACTCTAGATATTAAGAAATACCTATCCTGAACACTTGGACACCATTCAACAAGGAGAAAACAGAAAGTAAAAAACAAAGAATCTATGAAAATATATTGGAACATAAAGGAAAGGGGCATTTATTTGAAGATTCTGAGGAAAAATCCACTTCTAAAAATACTTCTTTTTACCAAAAACAAATTCTCAAATGGTTGGTATTCTACCCCTACCCCAGGCTGTGATAAATATGAAGTTAAGTTTGTTTCAATTGCGTCTAGCTAAGGAAGCATCATGGTGTGCCCTTAAAGGCAGAACCTTTGTTGTCATATTTGCTGTTGTCATTGGTTATTATTAGCAAAAGAAACTGCCATTGAAAATTTGCCACTGTATCTAGAGTTCCAGAAAGCAAGTCAACTTAAAACAAACAAGCTTTATTCAATTATCTGGGCTCTTCATGGGCTTCCCATCTCAGAACACAACCCTCTCTTACCCAATGAGCCTCATTTATCCCTCGACACTCTGCCATAAGTGAAAAGTGCTCACATTAATTTTTAAAATCATTGATTTTAATGGAAACTTTTATGATGCATTCTATCTCAACCCAAGATACCCAAACAATTTTCAGTTAGAAAAATATATTAATTGAATAATGAGAACAAATTAATATAAAAAATAAATAATTGAAAGTAAGTAAATATAATATATACAACTAGATACAAATGATTTTTAGAGAGGTACTTGCCAAAGGAAGAAGAGAGTCTTGATAGTGGATGGTGGATGATGGACGAGGTTGCAAAGGAGTCATCTTTTGTAGGTGAATTATTTTCTCTGTGCCATATTCTTCAAAATTTTTTAACCTTTTTAGGGCTCATGGTTACTTTGTAATCAAACTTCACTTAAAAATTAAGGTATAACACAGAAAAACAACTTTTGAGCCAAATTAAAACTAAACAGGAGGGTGCTTTGAAACACATGGATAGAGCACATGCATTCAACAATAGAAGATTGTCGAAGATGCCACCCTTCCACTCCTCTTGCTTGGTGTAGTTACACAAAGCTAAACATGGTGGGCTCATCCCAACATGGTGCACAGTTCAAATTCGTCCTACATACTATTCTCTGAATAAAAACCATGTGCCAAGTAAGTTGGTGAGTGTGTCTACTTGAAATTATAATTTAAAAAATCACATTTCATGTCACATTTATTAAGTATAGCATTTTGGGGAAAAGTTGTTATGTTAAATGAGTGGCAAAAAATCATTAATCTAAGAGTTTTATGTGCACCAAGCCTATAAAATTCAATGTCCCCACCTTGGTCTCAACTCCGACACATCATCTGGTCCTGCCTACTTCACCATCTTCATTTATATGACTCTTCCTTTTGCTCACTCTGCTCCAGCCACCCTGACCTCCTTTTTGTTTTCCCAATATGCCGACTATGCATGTGTCAAGGTCTTTGCAATGGCTGTTATCTCTGCTGAGAACACTCTTTACTCCACACATTAGCATGGCTCATCCTTTACTTCTATCTTCATCAACAGAATGCAAGCTACATAAAGACAAAGACTTGTCTGCTTTTATCACTGCCGTGGCACATAGTAGACGCTCAAGAAATATCTGATGTTGTTGAATAAATGAATGGCACGTCTCTGTTTATAAAGATAGTAAGCAAAAGAGCAGTCATGGCCCTAAAAGAAGGGTATAATATGAAGTTTTTTGCTTTTTGGTTTTGGTTTTGTTTTGTTTAGATCTGCTTGAAGACAATCACACTGCCCAAACCACCTTGAATAATGATGCTTGAGAATAGCTGGGAAGATGTGAGCAAATCTGAGTAATTAATCAAGGAGTTTTAAAAAGGTACAAGCCTCAGAAATAACATAAATCATTCACAAATATTTTCCTATGTTCCTATGAGGATCATCTGGTTTTCAAAAAATTCTCTACCAAGAATTGCAGTTGTGCATTAAAACTTTGCAAACTTAACTACAGAGAAACCATCACTCATCTCTTATAAATAGGCCAATTTTTTAAAAAAATAAATTTTAGGGGCCAGCCCGTGAGCACAGTGTAACCACTCCACTTTCCCACACTCCACTTCAGTGGCCAGGGGTTCTCAGGTTCAGATCCTGGCGCAGACCTAGCACCACTCATCAAGCCATGCTGTGATGGCATCCCACATACAAAATAGAGGAAGACTGGCACAGATATTAGCCCAATGACAATCTTCCTCAAGCAAAAAAAGGAAGATTGGCAATGGATGTTAGCTCAGGGCCAATCTTCCTCACGAAAAAGAAAAAGATAAAATAAATTTTAAAGCTATCTTTTGGAAATCTATCACTTTTTAAAATATTCACTTGACTTTTCATTAAATATTAAAATATTTCCATTTGGTTTATGTGAGTCCAGGAAATTAAAGATGAAGTAAATTGTAATAACATCTGTATAACTATACTACATGCAAGTTTCTATGTTATCCATGTATTTTCTCAGTTGATCCTCACAACCACACTGCATCAGGAAGGCCAGCCACTATATCCCTATTGCACATACAGGGAAACTGAAGCTAAAGGAGATTGTGCAATTTAATAAGAGAATGAGCCATGAGCAGAAGATGTATACATGACATCTGGCCCAGTGCTTGCTCTTCCACTCATAAAACCATTCCTTAAAATGCTCTTAGAAAATTAGTGGTATTTCCAGAAAAGAATCCTAAAGCTTGAAGCTAGTAATCACATCCTCATCAGAGAACCCATTTTCGGATAATCAGGCTCTGTGGTCGTGGCCTTCTCCCTTACAGCTTTTCAAAGCAAGCCCTTGCAAATAACTTGTTTGCTCTGTATTTCATACAGTGTAAGAGAAAATATCAGCAACTCCATGCATATATCATACAACATGCGAAATTACAGAGCTCAATATAAGTCTCTAGGTACCTACAACAGAAGTGAGTTAGGAGAAAAATCTATGAGTAGAAACAAAATGAAACACAATCTTTTCTCATTCTGTGATTTTTTTTTTCTCTTTACAAGTATAATAGTCTCTAACATGATAAAACCCACAAAGTGTGGGTTTTAAAAATTATTCATCATTCTAGCAGGTCTGGCTTTCACGGAAAGTCAAACTTAAACTTTACAGAATCATTATTCTCTTCAGTCAGTGTGGTTCATAAATCTCATACTTCCTGCTATTTATGCATGAAAGTTGCCAACACTGTCAACAAGAAAGAATATCAGCCAGAGTTCTGCACAGGGGTTTCTGCAGCATCAAGTTCAAATGTAGGGATGTGTGTCTCTATCTGGTGGTGAATTTTTGCTCATATTTTCCAGAATAAAAATAAATTAAAGGCATTGTAACATGTCAATTTTATTTCTGTAGGAATTTGGTAACCAAGGTGATATCTAACCAATGACTGTTAGGTTAATTCGTATGCAGATGATTCTGATGCAGGGCAAACATGTTTCATCTGCTCTACACTAGCACACAGTTTCCTAAAAATTGCAAACTGGTTCAGAACTGTAATCCATACGGCCCAGGATTTTGCCTTTGATAATGCGGCCAACCCAAAGCAGGACAAGAGCTGTCTTCTCAAATGGTAAAATAAAAAGATAAAAATCCATTCAATATGAACTTTCAATGTCCTTTTAAATTAAAAAAAGAGTTTTGTTTGTTTTTGAAATCCTTCTCAGACACACGAGGGAATTGAACAGGAAAGCTTTGTGATGTAACAGCGCTCTAAGGAAACTGAGGCAAGCTCATCATTGGGTCAGATGCATGTATTACTCAGTCCTGCAGGTGCACAGGCAAGGATGACTTGTCTCAAATGGGACAGACGTCTTCAGACCCTCCAC